TCTGTCTTTAAATATTTTATTTTTTTTTTTACCTCTGCTGCAGGCAATGCGAGCGTTATTGCTCTGTCATTTGCTATGCATGAGGTTCATAATCAGTTGGGGGAAGAGGTTTTTTTCTTTTACGGCGGCGTCTGATAACCCACCCAATTTGCAGTCAGTATGCATGGCGAGCGGTGCGACTTGTTAGAGCCGCGTGCTGGCCCTGCGAGAGAGACCTGTCATATTTTATTCAGGCGCAAGCACTGCGAGGCTGGTGATTTATTTGCGGGAGGGAAGGCAGGAGCAAATCCTCCCCCCTCCCCAGCCTCTCCCTTCCCTGCCTCTAAAGGTCCAATAACTTACCACCCAGCAAATGCATTTTCCTCTTCTACATATTTTTCTGTGGTTTGCATTCTCATTCTCTAAATATATTGCGATGCGTTATTTATCCTCAGTCTACAGCCGGGTGACTTGGCGTAGTTTACACACGCGTAGACACAAGAATTTAAAAAATAAATCACGGGGTGCACGACTACTATTTTAATCTCTTATTACAGACACTTCTATGGCTCTATAAAAAAAAAAAAAAAGAGAGGCACAGAAAGTCCGTAAAGAGAGATCGCTCAAAAAAGTGGCACTGAAAAAGCGGCTTACACACACCCATCGGCACAGACTCGATTTGCTTTTTGCTGCCTCTGCTGCTGGTGGTCAGCAGCCTTTGGTGACGATACAGGTAGGCATGCAAATGGCACGTGATGCCCATGGTACTGACCAGAGGACTCGCTACCCATGCAGCTGCTCTGCATTCAGTTTGGCACTGGAGAGGGGCTGGGTGCCTGTGTCTTCCTGCACCCTCAGCCCGGACGCTCGCGGGGTAAAGGCTGGAGGGTGGGGATAACTGCCCTTACCCACTGGTAGAGGCCCTTTTTCTTGACGTTTGATTTCCACGTGCAACCAGAAGCAAACGTGAAGGGGCTCGGGTGCGTGTGAAATGGGAGGAGCACGGGTGCGGGAGGGCTCTGTGGGACCGAGCGCAGCAGAGGTCTGACACCTGGCACAAGGTCTGGTACCTTAAAGACAAATGAGATGAGTGTTTGCTTAAATTTGTCCCTTGTCTGGGGGAAATATTTTAGAGTGAACTCAAAGCTATGCGAAAGAACTGTTGGATGTTTGCCTGCCGGGGATGCTCTCCCGAGCATGAACCAGAGCCACAGTGACCTTACACCGATTCTGGTTTTTTGACCTGGTGCAGAACGATGGAGTTGTACAAGTGAGAGGCAGCGTGTCCCCACGGTATCTCATCCCACAGTGTGTCCCTGCAGCATCTTATCACAACTTTCTGGGATATGAGTACTGGGTTTTAAAAAAATAAAACAACACACAACAACAACAACAAAAAAACCACAAAATAACCAACCAGCATCACCTGAAGCTGTTGAGTAGCTTGTTCATTTTGTATCTACAGCTTACAGATGGTTTTCTTTAACAGTACTTCACACTGGAATTGGCTATGGTTGTGATGGAGCGTATTTGACCAGCAGAGCAAAGTTGGTTTCTGCTCTTAAGCAGGGAAGATGTGCAGGGATTGCCAGGGTGTTGGTGCCTCTCAGAGGGGTTTCTGGCAGAGCTGGGGGGAAGTTGTGCTCCTGGAGCCTGAGCATCACTGCTGTCCTCTGGCTCCGTGTGCCCAGGGTGAATCATTCCCGAGATGCTGAAGGAAACTCCTTGCAGAGGTGGTGCATCCGTGCAGCCACGGATCAGGCTGATGCGGCAGTGCCGGGATTTTCATGGGTTTTGTAGCCTAGCTGGAATACGACAAAATTTATGCACGTATAGCGCTGGCTGCTCAAAGCTCTGCAAACATTAATTAAGTTGCCTAACACCGCTTGGCAAGTGTTAGTGTTGAAATCCTCTTGCTGTGGTTAAATTGAGGGACCAAAGGGGCGTAAGAGCTTCAAGGGTGAACCGACAGCAGCGAAGATGCAGGATCTGCAGCGTCCCAGCTCTCAAGAACCAGTATTGCATCATCCTGATTTTAAAAACCACTGTTCCAGGCCCAAGGGTGCCTTAAAACCTGCCCCGTGACATCAGAAGTGTAGGAGGAGCTGGGGGGTGCCCCTTGCTGGGGTGACAGAAAGCAGCGAGAGGCCCAGTTCCCTCCTTACAACATGGAGTGCTCAGGTTTGGGGGCTATAGAGGGGGAAGTTGAGTGTCTTAAAGCAGCCCATTTAGCTTCCAAAATAAAAACTGGGTTTGCATGTGTTTTTTTAATTAGAGCTGGGGCAAAACACAGTCTCAGGTCAGAACAGCCTCAGGCTCTGGAGACAGCACAGTGCATTGATCTGAATCTGAATTTTGGAAAGGAGAAAAAAAACGTCCATTTACTAGCAAATCCCTGGGTCTGAGCAGCCCTGAAGCTGCAGGTGTTGAATATTCAAAGGGCTGATTCACCGTAGTGAGCTTTGGGGTTTATGCTGGCGGGATGCTGCTGAATCCAGTGCTGCAGTCGAGTAACACCGTCCCCCAGCGTGGGTGTTCAACAGCAGTAATTGAGTCTGCGACCGCTGAATCTCAGTGTGGGGTCTCCACCACGGCGCTGGGATCTCCCTCCCCCAGGTGAGGTGCCAGGTAATTCACTATTTGGCCTGTCTCGCACAACCAGCGAGCGTCACGTTGAGTCTGGCGGTATTTATGCTGGGATAAGCCTGCAGTGGTTTATCAAGCCCCAGACATCCATCCAAATTTGGCACTTGATCCTTTCATTTCTTGTTTATGTCATTACTCCCAGATTCCTATTCATCACATGAATTTTCTCTTCAAAAAGGAGAGAAAAATCAACTCTTCATGACAGCAAACAGGAAAGTTGCATGACTATGGAGAGGAGCATTAACCTTTCCTTTAGCCTGAAGAACATAATCTTTTTAAAATCAACTTTTTATTAATTTTTGAGTGATGCTTAATAGCATCACTCAAAGTGAGATGCAGTGGCATCATCAGGGGAGCTCTTCGCAACTTCTCACGCGTGCAGTTTAAGGTGATGCCTAAACTGAGGGTGCCCGTGGGTGCTGCGGGAACCACGACATTGCCCCGCTGCCCACGTGGGGCCGTCTCCCCTGTTGCACTTGCACGCTGATGCCTTCTGCGGGGTCTGAACCAGCGAGTTTGCAGCCCCCCGCATCCCACCCTCAGCAGTTTTTTGCCCTTTCAAAACCCAGCAGTGCCCTCCTGCAGTGCTCGGGCTGGTTCGGGCCTCTCCGCCCCACCCCACCTGCTGCGAAAAGCCGTGGGTACAGACATGGGCAAGGGCTTGTGAGCACCAGGGGTGCCCAGTGCCTCCAGGCAGTCGAGCAGCAGCGTGTGATGGTGGGGGGGAGCTGCCTGAGGCTCTGCCGCGGTCCTGGCAGGGTGAAGTCCCATCCCTTGTGGCGTGGCCTCTCCTAACGTTCCCATGCCCACAGGCCAGCTGCATCTTCCTCAGACACACCACTGACTGCAAGCGACTTGGAAGCCGGCCCGCCATTCAGAGCTCTCCTTGCAGCACATCGCTGCCAGGAGCCTGGCCGGCATGGGCAGCACCTGCTGGGTGCTTGGGGCAGGCAGCATGGACGTGTCTTTGGGACTGGGTGCTGCAGCTCTGATGGTCGGATGGGGCTTCTTCCCTCTGGGCAGGGAGAGCACAGGGGAGAAGTTGAGTGATGTCAGGAGATGCCACAGCGCTACCCCTTGGTGGCCTCGCCAGGAGGCTCGTTAGCAGAAAAATGAGGTGGCCACTGGATTTATTAACAGAACCCAGTGTACAAATTTAATTTTCCTACTCATTGCATTCCAGCAGAGTAATTGGACATACAGTCCAGAGCAGGGACAAAGGACAAGGTCAGTTATTTGTCTGGCAAATACAATTATACGTAGCTCTGAGTGTAGGTTTGGAAACCGCGTTCCCTGGCTGCGTCTTGCCCTGCGTAAAAATCGCCCGTGCTCCTGGAGCACGAGCTGGAAACGTGCTCCCCGTGGTCCACCCCAGGGGACGACCCCCTTCATCAGCGCACGGCCAAGAAGCAAACATGCAAGGTGTGCGGAGCGCGACTCGTCCCTGAGGAAATTCGCCTCGGAGGGATGCTCGGGCCCTTGCAGCGCCGTCCGGGGAGTGCCATGCTCACCACGGCCCCGTCACGCAGCCGGGTATTTAGACCACCGCGCTGAGGAACGTTTGCAGTGTTTAAAGCTCAGTGCTAGGTACTCTCATTGCAGTGCAAGGGCGCTGAGCCTAGCACTTCTCATCAAGCCTACTCCAAACTTCGGTGTAGTTTTCAATTGCTTTGAGCGCTTTTGCCGCCCGTGTTGCATTAACCGGAAGAAGGAATCGTTCTGTACGTTCAGTCTAGCCGCGTGAACGCAGGCGCTGGAACAGCAATCTGAAATACAGCGTGGCCGCCGCGCCGGGAAGCCAATCTGTTCAAAAGACCAGCGGTGGGGCGGGAAGGATCCTGCCAGGCGGCCAGCACCCGCTCCTCAGCCTGCTCTGCTCCCGCTGCAAATGAAGGCGGCAGATTGCCATACACTGGAACAAATTAGCCCTCCCATTCATCTTCATTAGCCACGCAGTTCCACTGGACCCGAGCTCACTACAAGTGGGTTCCCAATATCTATGTAAATGCCTCTCTTTCTACACATATTCACTGACATTTATTAGTAGGTACCAGAAGCAACGCTAAAAGTACAAGCCATGCAGAAGAGCAAATTAGTGAGGGCCATCCCCGTCGGCGCAAGGTTATCATCCCGGTTACGCCACGGCGAGCAGAGCATTTGGGTATTACCCCTGTAATTATTGTTGTTGGTTTGGCATTAAATGTGTGCATTTAAAAATAAATCGGGCAAGTCCAGCACTATTGCAGTGGTTTCATTCATCACCGTGGGGTGTATCAGAAGACGCAGTGGTTGGCCAACATGGAGTTGGACCTCTCCATCCATGCTGGGCCAGATGAAGGAGCCACCTCGATTTCGTAGGACTGGATTTCCCCTGGAAATCAACGGGTGAAAATCAGGGTGCCCTCCTTAGGCTGAAATTTGGATTTAGCAGGGCTGCCTTCAGCCGTTCCTCCTTTGTGACCCAGGCAGGGGGCCAGCCAGGGCTCCCAGAAAAACCTGGCCCCTTTCCAGTTTGTTGCGTAGGAGAGGAAGCAGCCGGAGGGGGGTCGCAAGTCCTGCAACGGGGGGGG